TCAAGAATTTCCAACATTCCCTGTCTTCAAACTCGGCATGATGTGCCGAGGAATGTCTTCCACACTATTGACTGCCTGCTGCAGTACAGCCCATTGATCCGAGAGAAGGTTCAACTGAGCTGAAATCGTGGCATTTGCACACTTTCATTGGTATACCATCTTGTTTGTTGAATTCTGGTGGCAAAGGGCCAAGGCTACCAAGAACACATGACATGAAGCTAACTTGCAAGAGTGAAGAAAGAACTTCTCATCAGAACCCTCTTTTGGAAAGTCATTTGAATCTTTGCATGAAGGGTTGATTTTCATCAGCACTTTTCCTCTTTCAGGTGGCGGCAGGTGAGGTGGAGATCCAGGGTGGCATCTACGATCTGGAGACGGGTCATGTGGAGTTCTTGGGCCAAAGCCCAGCTCAAAACATCTTGATGAAATCTGGTGCTACGTTTCCAGCAGTGCTTCGACCAGTCCAACATCAAGCATCAGTACCTCAAGTAGCTCCAGCGCAAGTGCTTGCAGCACCAGTTCAATATCGAGCACAGCGATTCACGTATGTGCTTCCAGCAACAACACGAGTAGTACAAGCACCAGCAGCACCAGCGTATCTTCAGCCAGCACAAGCTGCTCCGGTACCTCTCGTGCAGACAACTTGGCACGGAGTGCAGGGCAATCGCTTCATCTGAGCAGATAGACTTGCCCGAGGCAAGTTCTGCAATTTTACAAAATGTCGGGAATGCAGTTGGATTTGATTAGGATTTCACATTTTTGGATGCGTCCATGATGTGCCCCATGTACATCGCAGACAGGTCGCATAGATGTATAGAAGAAATGGCCATTCTGCTCAGAAGCAGTCCTTCCATGCCAAATTTTCTCAAAGAGATTCTTGTGGCAAGAATTTGTCAACCACCACTTGGGCTCTACAGAAGTTTGGAGCCGTGGGAACCCTCCTTGGAGGTTCCGATACCAATATTTTTCTTTTTTCTTGCTATGTCAAAAAGCGTCGAGTGATGTGAAGTGTGAGATCATGATGTAGTGACTACAAACCCTTCATGTATGAACATGATACTTTCTGTCTTTAATTCAGCACTGTTCATCACAAGATTCACAGCATTCTGTGAGTTTAATATTGATGTCAAACATGTCAATTATGTCAATTATGATGATGGCTGATGGTGGTGGTTGTGGTGGTCGTGGTGGTCGTGGTGGTCGTGGGGGTCGTGGTGGTAGTGGTGGTCGTGGTGGTTGTGGTGGTGGTGGTTGTGCGAATGTCATACACCTCTTTCGATGCGTATTCATTGTCTGGTCGCTGGCGGACTCTCAACCAATCACTAATCACTTGCTGCAAGCTACAAGCAAACGTTGCCCCAACAAAACATAAAAAAAAACAAACTTGCTTTTAGCAAAGTCTTCAAGTCTATTTGACTTCACGTGATACTATATCAAATCATACCCACATGCATGAGCAAAGCGACAGCCATTTAAGTATGACACTTGGATCTAGAGATTTGCTTGTTTTCAGCATGCCATCAATCCCTTTGAGCGCTCCTCCGAACACCTCAAAACTCTTTACAACCTCCTCCAAGACAGTAAGCTGAACTTGCTTGATGATGCTGTAAACTCATCCTATGCCATTCAGCTTGCATTGCCAGCTTGGAATAATTTTCTCCGAATTTTTCAAGTGATTTCAGAGATTTGTGAAAGTGTCTTTTGCTGCATAGCATGTGACACGTTTTGTGCGATTTGAGCAAGTCGTATGCAGTTTAGAGCTTGATTTCCAACTTTCCTGACAGCGCGTTCAGATTTCGAACGCGGAACAGTGATTTCAATCTTTGACAGAGCATTGAGATTTCGAACGCGGAATTCACATAGTGATTTCATTTTTGGAGAAACATTTAGACGTGCGAAAGAGGAATTTATAATCAGCTGCGGTACAGCTTATGAGTTTGAAGCTTCTCAGAAATCGTTTTGCGACGTTTCCACGGTTGAGACTTTTTTAAACATCCTGATGATCTCCTATTGTCTTGCGTTTCCTGGGTCCAAGCAATCTGTGAGATCGAAGTTTTTGAACCGCTTTTGATCACATTTCCAATTTGAGAGCCGTGCAAACTTGCAAGAGTTTTTTTTCCGAACTAGAGTAAGCAGAGAGAGAGTAAGAAGAGAGAGAGAGAGAGGAGTTAAGAAAGAGAGAGTAAGCAGACATGACGTCTGAACCGAATGTAAGTTTGGAAACAATTAGAGAATTTGACCGCAACCAAGCTTTCAGCTCTCCCTGTTGCCACAGCATTGTGAACATGCTCAGCCGCATCGTGCTTCCTTTGATCAATGAGATCAGCATTCCGCCAACAACATGTTGGCTCAAGATTAGGAGGCGTAAATTCTGCTAGCACAGTGAGACAAAAAGGGCGTGAGTTGTCAAGCAGAGTTGTCCACATTCTCAGTTGCAATTATCTACTCTTCTGGGGTGATAATTCTCGCATGGTAGCGAGAGCCAGTGTGCTCCTAGGAACCCCCCTGAATTGGTTTTCTCCTAGGATTTTCCAGGGTTCAGGATTGACAACAGGCAACTGATCTTGACAAGAGATCTTGGAACCTACACCTAGCAGAATCTGATTTTGCAGCCATGGAGCAGCCGGCCAGAGACAGGTCACCAAGAGGCCGTTCTCAAACGAGAAGAGGAGTTTCTTTGCCTGCAACAACCGGATATGCCCCTGGAAGTGCAAACGCCTCCGTCCCCTTTGTCTTCGAGGAGCAACTCAATCGAGTCCGAATGAGCATGGACACTTTACAAGCAGAAGTTGGCAAGGCAGTTCGAGAACTTGCAGGTCACCAGAAAACTCTTGTTGACACCCTTGAGCGTCAGCAGCATGAGCTGAATGATTTACGAGCCCAAAGAGTTCCAATCCCTCCAAGTGCTTCTCAGTCAGTGGCGGCTGCCAATGAGGATCGCTTCGGTGCCATGGGAGAAACCAGTCCTTTTACTTCTGGACAAGACCCGCCCATCCAATTGCCAGTGAATGCTCAGCAAGGTGCAGGTGGACTTGCATCGGCGATGCCAAATACTGCAGTGAATGCGAGCTCAAGCACTGGACATGGGGTAAAAATTGTCTTACCCGATGGTACGGAGATCCCCTTGGGCGGCCAGTCAAATGCCGCGGGTCCTAAAGTTCCTGGATCCACACAGCTAGATGCGCTGCAGAGAAGCGACAAGTGGCTGCCTAGCATGCCCGTGGTCGAGTCGAATCGGTGGAAAAGCCGAATGGAGGAGATTTTGGGCATGGAACAGTGGCTCGATTCATTTTGCAATTGGCTATCTTTGATTTCAGAGCCATTTTGCACAGAAGTGAAGTTTTCCGCGACTTCTCCGCTGCCAATTGACAAGAAAGATTTGTCAACTGACCAGATTTCCCGAAGCTCCAGGCTCATGGCAATGCTTCGCCAGACCTTCCAGATGACTCCGCGAGCCAAAATCATTCTGCTTGCTTATGTAGAAGGCCCTGGAGATAAGAACGGGTATGAGGCTTTGCGAAGGATTGTCCAAGAATACATGATCAAGACTCGTGCTGAGTTGATGCATTTCCGCACATCTTTGCTTGGCCAAACTTTCAAAGCTCAAACAGTGACAGAGGTAATCAAGCAAATTGAGTTCGAGGAGAGCCGGTACAACAAGCTTGCTCGGATGTTGCCCTCGAATGTACTAGCTTCCGATTTGGCCCTGCTCCCTAGTGATTTGGTGATGGTCCTCATCAAATCCTTGCCTGTTGGTGTGAGGGAATATGTTGTCATGCATAGCCCAAGCCATGACTATGTGCAAATGAAAAATGCCGCTTTGTTGTACGAAGCCAACCAGAGAACTTGGACAGAGATTGCAGGCAGCAGTTCTGCCACCTACATGCATGGAATGTTTGACACGAATGACAAGCCGAAAGGAAAGGGCAAAAGCAAAGATGGTAAGAAAGGAAAGGGGAAAGCAAAAGATTCAAATAAAGGTGCAGCTAAGGGCAATGGTGAAAAGTCAGAGAACGAAAGGAATGCCACGTGTTTCCGATGTGGTCGCACAGGCCATTTCTCTTCAAATTGTCATGCCAAGAAAGACAAGGATGGCAAGCCGCTTGAAGGGAAGCCCGCTCCAAAGAAAGATGGAAAGGGATCTGGTGAAGAGAAAGGTTCCAGCACAGGTCCTCAGAACAAAGGAAAAAGCAAAGGATCCAAAGGTAAGAAAGTCAATGAAATGCTTGAGCAGCCTGAAGGCGAATCGTGGCCTACCAATGGTCCAGCTGAAAGTCAGGGTTCCAATGGAGATGGCAGCCGTGCGTCAGCTGCGAAGCAAGCAGCAGCCCCTTTGAATCCCATTTTGCCTACTCAGTCTTGGTTTGAAGACACGATCGTGCAGTTTGAGCGAGAGCAGATCACAGAAGAGCAGTTCGATTTGGTCCACGGATCATTTCTCATGGAGGAACAATTTTCTACTGATTTTGATTTTTCATGTTTTGGAAACCCATCAGATTTGTGGAGTAAAACCAAGCATGTTTGTACCATGTCAGCTGCAGTTTTCATGCCAATGATGCCAGATGTCCCATCAGATTTGCACTGGTGGCTCATTGATTCAGGAGCATCAGCCTCTGTTCTGAGTTCTCGCTTCCTGAAACACTATGAAGTAGTAAAGAATCAAGTGCTGGGACCAGCAACCGGCCCTGGGTTTTCATCGGCAAGCGGTGAGACAATTCATCCAACTTCCCTTGTTTGCTTGAAAGCATTTTTCCGCTTGACGTCCAGAGAAGATCCTTCAGACACCATGTTGAAAGAGTGCTTAGTTTCAGCTTTTGTAGCAGATGTTCCCAATAATGTTTTGTCAGTGGGCAGCTTGCTGCGAAAGGGTTGGTCATTAAGCAGTTCCGGAAGTGAATTGGAAGTGCGCTTTGGAGGATACAATTTGGACTTGGTGACATGGCAGAATGTGCCATGGATTTTTCACGAAGTTGAGACGGTCATGGACTTTTCCGATGATCGCGATTTGCAGAAGACATTTTGGAGCCGTCGGAAAATCCATGATGGTCCGGTGAACACGGTTGAGCATTTGAGCGAAACTGACAAATCCATGTTGATGACAACCAAGAGACAGCCAGATGTTTCATTGGAAGAACTTGACCCCGCTGCTGCATCCTCTTCTAGCCCAGCATATGTTAGTAGTAGGCCCGTTTCCGATAGTGAATCTCCATACCGTGAAAGCCTCAGTGTGGAGCCTAACTCTGTTCCGGATTCGAGAGAGCCTTTTGATTATGAGCCCAATATGATTGTAGACACAAACACAGGATTTGCATCCATTCCTTCAGAAGAGTCTTCAGAGCATCCAGCTGTATTGCGAAAACGAGACTTGAATAAATCCAAGCTTGAACAACACCGCCGTCAAGGCCATTTTCCATTCCATGCAGATTGCCTTTCTTGCCAAGCAGCCAAGTCCACGACCCACCACAGAAGAAAGAAGAAGTCGGTGTTGAGCAGTGAGATGGCATGTGATTTTTTCTTCTTGAACTTGGATAAAGCAAACAAAGAGTCTTTCAAGTATCTAATCATGGTAGATTTGACCACTGGAATGAAAGGCGTGGCCCCTGTCCAGTCGGACATTCGTTTGTCGCACCGATGGATACAGGCCTGGCTTGGCGAATTCAATATGTCCACAGAATGCTCCGAGCCAATTGAAATTATCACGGACGCAGAAGAAGCTGTTTCAAGTTTCATGAAAGGTGCCATCAACCACAGGCCAGCTTCATTTGTCAAAGCGCCGCCGCAAGGTCACCAGACCATTGGTGGAGCAGAGGCTGGAGTCCGAGCCATTAAAGATGCGTTCAACACTCTTCGGCAAGACTTGCGTGAGAATGGCTGTGATGTTTGCGTCAGGAATCAGACAGCTGTGAATGCCGCTTTGGCATATTTATGTCATTGCTCCAATTATTTTTCATGTTACTTAGATACAAAACAAAGTCCAAAGTCACTTGCACTTGGTCGGGAGACGACCCGGAAAACAACCATGTTTGGCAGCCTTGTCCTTGCAGAGGTGCCAGCTAGCTTGAAGAAAGATTGCATTTCCCGATTTGAGAAGGCAACGTATTTGCGACCTGAGTTCAACTCATTGGGGGATGTAGTTTGTACTGTCATTGGGGGGCAAGAACGTTTCTTTGTTTGCAAGAGCTTTAAGATTGTTTCCCCATTGGAGTGGGACATCTCCTTGTCTCCATCTGTTTTGCATTTTTTCGACCGGATGCAGCCTGATGTTTCCATTGAAGATCTCTCCGCAAAGATGTCTGAACCTCTGCCCTCTAGGATTATCGAGCCTGTGGAATATTCAAACGTCAAGAATGTTCCTTCATCCTGGATTCATGAGCATGGACGTACTAAAGGTTGTAGTGTTTGTGCGCGCCATCAGAGTTTCCACGGACTGAAGCACAATAAAAATGTATAGACAGATATATTGAGTGGTTGAGGAGACGATCAGATCCCATGTCTGATCTCAATATGTCTCAGGGTCCTGTTTTGGCAGCCGATGGCAGCCAGGTGCGACGTTTGAGTGGCAAGCAGAAGCCACCGCCAGGCCTGGGTGAAGCTGATCAACCCGTCCAGCAGAGGTTTCCAGACTTTCCAGCAAACAGAGAGAAACGAGTTTCGTTTGATCTTCCAAAGAATCAACCCATACCAGAAAGTCTCCCAGTTGAAGGGGGTCAACATCTCGATGAGAATCCACATGATGTTCCATATTCGCCCAGCCTTGCACCCAGTTCTCCAAAGGCGTTGGACGAGCCAGAAGTCATCCATGACATGGAAGTAGACGACTCTGCTGACGGAATGGTAGATCTAAGTGAATTTGCAGCTGCTGGAGGCGAACCTACAGCCACGGAAGCTATGGAGCTAGATTTGGTAACAGCCTTGGATAACTTTGAGCTTTCGTATTTAGAAGAGCGTCACATTGGCATGTTGCAATCGGTTTATCAGATCCGTGGAGTGAAACCCAAGAGCAGCAAGGCAAACCTTTGTGGGGAAGAAATCTTACTTTTGTTTCCTGGATATGTCATCAGTGACGCCAATGGCCAATATCTTGACAAAGACCTTGCGTATGCAGGGATGCACACTGAAATCGATTCCATGACCAGTCAGAAGGTTGGCAGACCAATCCATGAGCAGGAAGCCCAGCGTCTTGCCAAGCAATGGCAGATTAGTATAATCACTTGCCGATGGGTTTGTGTTGAGAAAGATCCCTTGAATGTTCGCATGCGACTAGTTGCACGGGAAATGGCAAAAGGAGAGTTCAGCCCGTGACCTCATGGTTTCTTCGCCTACTTCCAGCATTGAATCTTTGAGAATCCTCATTGCAGAAGCAGCAGTCCTGGACCTGGTGATTCTAGGCCTGGACATCAGTGCTGCATTCATGGCTTCTCCTCTAGGCCGGCGTCTTGGCAAACCCATCAAAGTCATTCTGAAGATGCCACCAAATACTATGCAGTTTCCAGATGGTAGCCCGATATTCCTTGAAGCATTCAAGGCCATAAATGGCTTGAGAACAAGCGGTTTGGCTTGGGTAGAGCACTTAAGCCACTTGCTGCAAGAGTTAGGAATCAAACCGTCTTTGATTGAAACAACTGTTTTTTCTGGAGAGGTTTCAGTCAAAGGGCATGGAAAGGCATGGGTGCAAGTAGTTGCATACGTTGATGATCTGCTCGTGTTTGCCCCGAGTAAGGTATTTGCATTTGCCGTTCAAGACCATTTGGCCCTACACCTAAAAGTAAAACGTACGGGGCTTATAGAGCGAAGTTTTGAAGGGGGTGGCAGTTTGCGTTTTCTTGGCCGCAACATCGAAAGAAAATCCAACAGCAAAGAGATTACCATCAGTCTGGATGAAAACTATTTAGATGGTATGTTTGAGGCCTACAGCATCAGCACTGCCAGTACAAATCCTCCAGATCTTCGACCGGTACTTGAAGACAGTTCCAAGTCTGATGAATTATCCCCAGATGCGGCCATGCGGTACAGAGCAGCCTTAGGCAACTGTCCTGGATGTCCCAAACATATGTTTTCATCAATGTATACATAGCTTTGCTAGCCACAGGCATGGCCACACCGCAAGATCGCCATGAAAAGGCTTTGAGATCAGTGTTGAAATTCATGAAAAGCCAAAGAGGCATTTACCAGAGATTCCCATCTCCCGAAGCAACCATCGAGGAACAAGAAGCGCAACGCTTGGTAATCTACTGTGATGCCAGCTGGGCCCCAATGCGCTTTCTCAAGCGTAGATCAATTTCTGGCGCGTGTGTTTTTTATCGCGGGTCCATCATCAAAGCTTTCACAAGATTGCAACAAGTGGTCGCGCTTTCAAGTTGCGAGTCGGAACTGTCAGCATTAGCCGAATCCTTTCAAGAGAGCATGGGAATCAAGCGTATCTCTGAGCATCTTTTTCTAGAAACTCACGCGCATGTGACCAACATCCATGAAAGTTTTCAAGCTTCAGATCGAATACACAGTCTTGCAAACTCCCTGATTTTTGGATTAGTTGATGAAGACCTTGAACATGCCACAGCCATTGAGGTGGAAGTCCGTTGTGATTCCCAAGCAGCCATCCGAGTCCTGACCTCACCAGGGCTCCAAAGACGCAGTCGCCATGTTGAGTTGAGAATTTGTTTCTGCCAAGAGATGGTCCGAAGAAGAACCATCATTCTCACATGGGTCGAGGGTTCACAGCAAATTGCAGATATTTTGACCAAGTGTTTAGGAATAAAGCTGTTTTTGAAATTCAGGACATCAATGGGATTCATTGAATCAGCAGAACTTCCAGCCAAACTGGCAGACCAACAATCTGAATCCCAAACAAAGCAGACAGCCAAAAAGAAGAAAGGAAAGACGAATCAAATCCAAAGCATTTTGTATGGGGGTAGGCCGGGGTCAGTGAATGTTCAGTCTTTGGAGTCGAACTCCCAAGATGAAGAGCACGTGCTTGCTTCCACAGTCTTTGTGCCAGACGCCCAGAAATCAGATCCATCACCGTTTGCTTCACAACCATTGAGCTTGATCTTAGAAACACAAGAAGCCAATTTACCAGAATTGTCGCCTAGTAAATTTTCAGGGATCTTCTTGGAAATATGTTGCGGTGTGAACAGCAATTTAACCGAGTCGATTCAAGCCAGTTTTTGTGGAGACATTCAAATGGCAGTCATCCGAGTTTCCACAAGGGCAGATTTCACAATGTTTCATGCCCAGCTCAGTGATCTTGTGCAGCGATTTTCAAAGAAAGGTAAGCCTGTTTATGTGCATTTCTCCCTTCAGCCTTCAGGAAATTCAGACACGACTGAATATATCCCAGCAGATGCCGAGCCCACTGAATCAACGCAAGTTTCTGAGTTGGAACAAATTTTGAAACTGAGCCAAAGCCTCGCCGTTGCAGCAGATGAGTTCACTTTCGAGCTACCCAAGAGAAATAGGTATTGGAACAGTAAGTTCATGGCAGATTTCTTTGTGAAAGTAGGTCGCCATATCTATGCACAGTTCCCTCGGCTTTGCAGTTTTCCTGAAACAGATCCTAAGGTTGGAAAGATTTTCTTGTGGTTGGGAACCCATCCAAGTTTAGCCAGATCGTTGGCAAATCACACAGAGTGCAATTGTGAAAGTCACGTTGCATTCAATGCAGTCAATTGGGACAAAGTAAGCCATTATCCTGCTTCGATGTGTAGCATCATCGCTCAGGCCTATCGAGATGTTTACATTGGCAAGGACATGGCCAAGTCCACACTCCCAGCATACCGGTTTTTCGAGCCTGGCATGACAGAAATCCGATATTCCATGAAGAAACTGCTTGAGAACCCAGTTTGAACCGTCGTTGTTTTCTCCATTCTTTCCTGCCTGGGAGAAGCTCCGAGAAAAAAAAAAACAATAGAGATGCCAAGCTAGCTGCCAGAGCCCGATCAGGCCTGGACGTGCGATTTTCAGTGAGATGATGAGCCGATGGGCCATGCAATTGAGATTCAGCCAGCGAAAGGGGGTGCGAATGTCATACACCTCTTTCGATGCGTATTCATTGTCTGGTCGCTGGCGGACTCTCAACCAATCACTAATCACTTGCTGCAAGCTACAAGCAAACGTTGCCCCAACAAAACATAAAAAAACAAACTTGCTTTTAGCAAAGTCTTCAAGTCTATTTGACTTCACGTGATACTATATCAAATCATACCCACATGCATGAGCAAAGCGACAGCCATTTAAGTATGACACTTGGATCTAGAGATTTGCTTGTTTTCAGCATGCCATCAATCCCTTTGAGCGCTCCTCCGAACACCTCAAAACTCTTTACAACCTCCTCCAAGACAGTAAGCTGAACTTGCTTGATGATGCTGTAAACTCATCCTATGCCATTCAGCTTGCATTGCCAGCTTGGAATAATTTTCTCCGAATTTTTCAAGTGATTTCAGAGATTTGTGAAAGTGTCTTTTGCTGCATAGCATGTGACACGTTTTGTGCGATTTGAGCAAGTCGTATGCAGTTTAGAGCTTGATTTCCAACTTTCCTGACAGCGCGTTCAGATTTCGAACGCGGAACAGTGATTTCAATCTTTGACAGAGCATTGAGATTTCGAACGCGGAATTCACATAGTGATTTCATTTTTGGAGAAACATTTAGACGTGCGAAAGAGGAATTTATAATCAGCTGCGGTACAGCTTATGAGTTTGAAGCTTCTCAGAAATCGTTTTGCGACGTTTCCACGGTTGAGACTTTTTTAAACATCCTGATGATCTCCTATTGTCTTGCGTTTCCTGGGTCCAAGCAATCTGTGAGATCGAAGTTTTTGAACCGCTTTTGATCACATTTCCAATTTGAGAGCCGTGCAAATTTGCAAGAGTTTTTTTTTCCGAACTAGAGTAAGCAGACATGACGTCTGAACCGAATGTGAGTTTGGAAACAATTGGAGAATTTGACCGCAACCAAGCTTTCAGCTCTCCCTGTTGCCACAGCATTGTGAACATGCTCAGCCGCATCGTGCTTCCTTTGATCAATGAGATCAGCATTCCGCCAACAACATGTTGGCTCAAGATTAGGAGGCGTAAATTCTGCTAGCACAGTGAGACAAAAAGGGCGTGAGTTGTCAAGCAGAGTTGTCCACATTCTCAGTTGCAATTATCTACTCTTCTGGGGTGATAATTCTCGCAGGTTGTGGTGGTGGCGGTGGTGGTGGTGGTGGTGGTGGCATTTGTGGTGGTCGTGGTGGTCGCGGCAGTTGTGGTGGTCGTGGTGCTGGTCATGGTGGTTGTGAAGGTGATGGTGATGTTGATACTGCTGGCGATCGTGATGCTAATGGTCATGATGGTGATGGTGAAAGTGATGTCGAGGTCTATTTTGATGACGCTGATGATGCTTAAAGCTTAAGAAAACGCATTCGTTTTACACCGACAGTACTTGAGAAATTGCAAGGTGGCAGTACTCTGTGATCCAGGAGTGGAATAGCCACAAGAGAACATGTGTGGATGCTTTCAATTAGAGATGCGGTCCAACACGTTTACTTGGTCTCGCAATAAAAGTGTTCCATCCGCTTTCCTAGCACACTTGTTTCTGAAAGCCATTTGCTTAAGTTAAATCTCTCTGCCGCATTTTGCCCGATCGTTCCACGATGGCAGTCCCAACGGCATCCGCACCAGGCTGGGATCACAGAACAGAAGCTGTTTGCTTTCACATCCCTTGAATCACTCTATCCCTTTGACCCAGACCGGTTCGGATGTGGTCCAATCGTACTTCTTGGCTGACAGTGAGTTGTTTCTTGAGAAATTTTGACATATATGATATAATGGCAATCTTTAAAAGGGACTCTATCTCATTAGAAACCAGTGCTATCCTCTGGGACTATACACGAAAAACTAAAACAACCCTTTTGCGATACGCAAATCCAATTCCTGCCATGCTTGTAAGGCAGAAAAGTGCGCACCACCGCAGATGCATCCATCCCCCCACAAGAGGCTTTGAAAGTCTTGAAAGAGGGCAACACTCGCTTCCTCAATGGAGCACCTACAGCAGCTCAAACCGATAAGATCATGCGCAAGGAGCTTGTGGACATGGGACAGGCCCCCCATACTGCCATCATTGGCTGTGCCGACTCCCGAGCACCTCTCGAGACAATTTTTGATGCCATGCCTGGTGATTTGTTTGTGTTGAGGAATGCTGGCAACACTTGCACTCACGCCGAAGGCAGCATGGTGGGCAGTTTGGAGTTCTGTACGGGAAAGCTCGGTGCCCGCATGATTTTGGTGCTCGGTCACACCAATTGCGGTGCGGTGTATGGTGCCACGAATGCCTACTTGGCAGCAAAGAAGTCGGGCACAGCCAGTGTGGAGTCGGCTTTGGAGGGTCTTTTGCTGGACTTGGCTCCCGTTGCAGAGAAGGCGGTGGCTGAGATGCCTCACCAGAATGCAGACGACATTGCAGCCTATGCTGTCCGGGTGAACGTGTTCCACACCATCGACTTCTTGCTGAAGTACAGTGCTGGGTTGCGCGAGAAGGTGAAGAGTGGGCAGGTCGAGATTCAAGGTGGCATCTACCACCTGGAGTCTGGAAAGGTGGAATTCATGGGATGCTCTCCGCAGCAGTCAGCCCTTTTGAGCACCAACCTTGGGCTTCCTCCATCCATGACTCGTGAGGGTGGCCGCACTTCTGGCTATGGCCCTGCAACCCAAGGTGAGCATGGCGTGCGCACAACTGTAGACAGTGCTGTTCCTGCTGAGGAAGCTTTGAAGATCCTGAAGGCTGGCAATGAGCGCTTTGCTGTGGGCGCTCCTTTGGCCAAGCATGCCACTTCGAAGATGCGTGAAGCTTTGGTGAGCCATGGGCAGGCCCCACACACTGCCATCCTGGGCTGTGCAGATTCCCGTGTGCCAGTTGACACAGTGTTCGATGCCATGCCGGGTGATTTGTTTGTGTTGAGGAATGCTGGCAACACTTGCACTCACGCCGAAGGCAGCATGGTGGGCAGTTTGGAGTTCTGCTGTGGCAAGCTTGGATCCAAGTTGATTTTGGTGATGGGTCACACCAAGTGCGGAGCCATTGCAGGAGCGACGGCCACTTACCTCGCCAACAAAGGCGCAGAAGGCAAGGCCATGAAGAGTGCAGGCAGCGCACTGGAGGGTCTGCTAGTTGGCCTGTCTGGTGTGGCAAAACAGGCTGAGGAGGAGCTTGGCCCTGGTGCTGATCAAGATGAGTTGGTGTCCCTCAGTGTGCGTGTGAACGTCTTCAGCTCCATTGATTTCCTGTTGAAGTACAGCCCATCTCTCAAGGAGCTTGTGAAGAACGGCAACTTGGAAATCCAGGGTGGAATCTACCACCTGGAAACAGGTCGAGTGGAGTTCCTTGGCCGCTCGCCCAGGCAAGCGGAATTGCTCCGCTCTGACACGGCTTCTGTGCCACCATCCCTGCAAGCATTGCCCATCCGCACAACAACAGATGGACCTTTGCCATCCAAGGAGGCATTGAAGCTGCTGAAGGAGGGCAATGCTCGCTTCACCTCTGGTGCTGCCATTTCAGGAAAGATCACTCCAGGCATGAGGAAGGCATTGGTCAACGAGGGTCAAGCTCCCCACACGGCCATCATCGGCTGTGCCGACTCCCGAGCACCTTTGGAGACCGTGTTTGATGCCATGCCTGGTGACATCTTTGTGCTGCGCAATGCTGGCAACACATGCACCCATGCTGAGGGCAGCATGGTGGGCAGCTTAGAGTTTTGCCTGGGTGCTCTCAAGACCAAGATGGTGTTGGTGCTGGGGCACACTGCCTGCGGAGCCATCAAGGGTGCCACCTCAACGTACTTGCAATCCAAGACTGGCAACGCACCCCAGGTGGGAGACATCCAAAGCATGTTTGAAGCTGTTGATTTCACAGACATGATGTCCATCATGTGGGGAGGAGTCTATAATCTATTCATCTATTCCGTGGGCTCATGTCAGATTTGGTGATGAACAGATGCAGTGGTCTGAGAAGACTTCCACTCTACCAGCTTCATTCAAGTTCCACTGACAAGTCATAGGTCAACCATGGTGTCGTACAGAATTGCCCGACAAAATGTAAGCATCCAATAATCATCAATAATCCATAGTATTCCATAGTCCCTATTCCGGGTTTCCACTTGCCATATCTTGCCATGCTATGTCTGCTATGTGCTTTCCTTGAGCTTTCCTTGACTGCCAGACTGCCAGGTCTCCAAAGCTCTGGATGCCCTGCTGGTTGGCCTCAGCGATGTGGCCAAGAAGGCCTCGCAGGAGTTGGGTCCCAACGCCACGGAGCAGCAGATTGTGGACCGGACCATCAAACTGTTCCCTGGCCACCAACGGTCCAGATGAATCATGATGTTACGATGTTGTTGAGTTCTGAGGGACTGAGATTGGACTCATAGCCTCCTTTTGTGAAGCGAGCCGCGATCAAAGTTGATGACTCCTGATTTATAGTCCTAGAGGTCAAAGTTTGTTTCGCAGCTTATTTACAGCCTCCGGCAGATTCCGCCGGCCTTATGGCAGTGACGTACCAGGGGCAGGAACCTCGGCTGGCGCAAGGAGGTTGCGTATGCGAGGAGGGACCGTGAGGCAAGAAGGAGGAGGAGGGAAGAATATGGAGCAGTGAGGGCCCCCGACGCAGCAAGTAGAAGTGAAGAACGGTATCGTGCGAGGCAGGAAGTACCGCGGAGTAACGTTGTGTGCGATCGAAGTAGGGCGCATTGGTTCGGAAAGGTGGGAAGTTTCACTTCTAAACATGCAGCAGGCCTGTCACCGACGTGTCGGTGCGGAAGGATTGCTAAGAATAACAGGGTATATAGATGTATATAGTATATTGGTTGTGTCGTGGTTGTCTTCTTTTGTTGCGCCATTCGCAGCAGCGATGCGTGATGGTTAAAATGGTTAAACCACATAACGCGGTGGTCGATGATTTATTCGGTTCTTTGTTGTAGACCTGAAGCACTATGGAGGGGGAAGGGGGAAGGGGGAAGGGGGGAGGGGGGAAGGGAGGGACTCCAATCAGGCGAGGCAAAAATCCGCGCAGAGGAGACTTTGAACCATAGTACCAAGTACATTGACATAACCATCATCACAGCACATCACAAGAAACACGTGGGCATAGGCTGGCGGATGTGGGATGGAGGGATGGACTGTTCAAGGTTTGAAGCAGTCAAGAACCCTGTCTTCAAACTCGGCATGATGTGCCGAGGAATGTCTTCCACACCATTGACTGCCTGCTGCAGTACAGCCCATTGATCCGAGAGAAGGTTCAACTGAGCTGAAATCGTGGCATTTGCACACTTTCATTGGTATACCATCTTGTTTGGTGAATTCTGGTGGCAAAGGGCCAAGGCTACCAAGAACACATGACATGAAGCTAACTTGCAAGAGTGAAGAGAAAGAACTTCTCATCAGAACCCTCTTTTGGAAAGTCATTTGAATCTTTGCACGAAGGGTTGATTTTCGTCAGCACTTTTCCTCTTTCAGGTGGCGGCAGGTGAGGTGGAGATCCAGGGTGGCATCTACGACCTGGAGACGGGTCATGTGGAGTTCTTGGGCCAAAGCCCAGCTCAAAACATCTTGATGAAATCTGGTGCTACGTTTCCAGCAGTGCTTCGACCAGTCCAACATCAAGCATCAGTACCTCAAGTAGCTCCAGCGCAAGTGCTTGCAGCACCAGTTCAATATCGAGCACAGCGATTCACGTATGTGCTTCCAGCAACAACACGAGTAGTACAAGCACCAGCAGCACCAGCGTATCTTCAGCCAGCACAAGCTGCTCCGGTACCTCTCGTGCAGACAACTTGGCACGGAGTGCAGGGCAATCGCTTCATCTGAGCAGATAGACTTGCCCGAGGCAAGTTCTCCAATTTTACACAATGTTAGGAATGCAGTTGGATTTGATTAGGATTTCACATTTTTGGATGCGTCCATGATGTGCCCCATGTACATCGCAGACAGGTCGCATAGATGTATAGAAGAAATGGCCATTCTGCTCAGAAGCAGTCCTTCCATGCCAAATTTTCTCAAAGAGATTCTTGTGGCAAGAATTTGTCAACCACCACTTGGGCTCTACAGAAGTTTGGAGCCGTGGGAACCCTCCTTGGAGGTTCCGATACCAATATTTTTCTTTTTTCTTGCTATGTCAAAAAGCGTCGAGTGATGTGAAGTGTGAGATCATGATGTAGTGACTACAAACCCTTCATGTATGAACATGATACTTTCTGTCTTTAATTCAGCACTGTTCATCACAAGATTCACAGCATTCTGTGAGTTTAATATTGATGTCAAACATGTCAATTATGTCAATTATGATGATGGCTGATGGTGGTGGTTGTGGTGGTCGTGGTGGTCGTGGTGGTCGTGGGGGTCGTGGTGGTAGTGGTGGTCGTGGTGGTCGTGGTGGTGGTGGTTGTGGTGGTGGTGGCATTTGTGGTGGTCGTGGTGGTCGCGGCAGTTGTGGTGGTCGTGGTGCTGGTCATGGTGGTTGTGAAGGTGATGGTGATGTTGATGCTGCTGGCGATCGTGATGCTAATGGTGATGATGGTGATGGTGAAAGTGATGTCGAGGTCTATTTTGATGACGCTGATGATGCTTCAAGCTGAAGAAAACGCATTCATTTTCCACCTTGAGAAATTGCAAGGTGGCAGTACTCTGTGATCCAGAAGTGGAATAGCCACACGGGAACATGCATGAATGCTTTTAATCAGAGATACGGGATACGGTCCAACACGTTTCCTTAGTCTTGCGATGAAAGTGGTCCATCCACTTTCCTAGCGCACGGGCCCGCAAACATTCAATCATATTCAATCAGTTGTTTCTGAAAGCCATTTGCTCAAGTTAAATCTCTCTGCCGCATTTTGCCCGATCGTTCCACGATGGCAGTCCCAACGGCATCCGCACCAGGCTGGGATCACAGAACAGAAGCTGTTTGCTTTGACATCCCTTGAATCACTCTATCCCTTTGGCCCAGACCGGTTCGGGTGTGGTCCAATCGTACTTCTTGGCTGACAGTGAGTTGTTTCTTGAGAAAATATGACATATATGATATAATGGCAATCTTTAAAAGGGACTCTATCTCATTGGAAACCAGTGCTATCCTCTGGGACTGTACACGAAAAACTAAAACAACCCTTTTGCGATACGCAAATCCAATTCCTGCCATGCTTGTAAGGCAGGAAAGTGCGCACCACCGCAGATGCATCCATCCCCCCACAAGAGGCTTTGAAACTCTTGAAAGAGGGCAACACTCGCTTCCTGAATGGAGCACCTACAGCAGCTCAAACAGATAAGATCATGCGCAAGGAGCTTGTGGACATGGGACAGGCCCCCCATACGGCCATCATTGGCTGTGCCGACTCCCGAGCACCTCTCGAGACAATCTTTGATGCCATGCCTGGTGATTTGTTTGTGTTGAGGAATGCTGGCAACACTTGCACTCACGCCGAAGGCAGCATGGTGGGCAGTTTGGAGTTCTGTACGGGAAAGCTCGGTGCCCGCATGATTTTGGTGCTCGGTCACACCAATTGCGGTGCGGTGTATGGTGCCACGAATGCCTATTTGGCTGCAAAGAAGTCGGGCACAGCCAGTGTGGAGTCGGCTTTGGAGGGTCTTTTGCTGGACTTGGCTCCCGTTGCAGAGAAGGCGGTGGCTGAGATGCCTCACCAGAATGCAGACGACATTGCAGCCTATGCTGTCCGGGTGAACGTGTTCCACACCATCGACTTCTTGCTGAAGTACAGTGCTGGGTTGCGCGAGAAAGTGAAGAGTGGGCAGGTCGAGATTCAAGGTGGCATCTACCACCTGGAGTCTGGAAAGGTGGAATTCATGGGATGCTCTCCGCAGCAGTCAGCCCTTTTGAGCACCAACCTTGGGCTTCCTCCATCCATGACTCGTGAGGGTGGCCGCACTTCTGGCTATGGCCCTGCAACCCAAGGTGAGCATGGCGTGCGCACAACTGTAGACAGTGCTGTTCCTGCTGAGGAAGCTTTGAAGATCCTGAAGGCTGGCAACGAGCGCTTTGCTGTGGGCGCTCCTTTGGCCAAACATGCCACTTCGAAGATGCGTGAAGCTTTGGTGAGCCATGGGCAGGCCCCGCACACTGCCATCCTGGGCTGTGCAGATTCCCGTGTGCCAGTTGACACGGTGTTCGATGCCATGCCAGGTGATTTGTTTGTGTTGAGGAATGCTGGCAACACTTGCACTCACGCCGAAGGCAGCATGGTGGGCAGTTTGGAGTTCTGCTGTGGCAAGCTTGGATCCAAGTTGATTTTGGTGATGGGTCACACCAAGTGCGGAGCCATTGCAGGAGCGACGGCCACTTACCTCGCCAACAAAGGCGCAGAAAGCAAGGCCATGAAGAGTGCAGGCAGCGCACTGGAGGGTCTGCTAGTTGGCCTGTCTGGTGTGGCAAAACAGGCTGAGGAGGAGCTTGGCCCTGGTGCTGATCAAGATGAGTTGGTGTCCCTCAGTGTGCGTGTGAACGTCTTCAGCTCCATTGATTTCCTGTTGAAGTACAGCCCATCTCTCAAGGAGCTTGTGAAGAACGGCAACTTGGAAATCCAGGGTGGAATCTACCACCTGGAAACAGGTCGAGTGGAGTTCCTCGGCCGCTCGCCCAGGCAAGCGGAATTGCTCCGCTCTGACACGGCTTCTGTGCCACCATCCCTGCAGGCATTGCCCATCCGCACAACAACAGATGGACCTTTGCCATCCAAGGAGGCATTGAAGCTGCTGAAGGAGGGCAATGCTCGCTTCACCTCTGGTGCTGCCATTTCAGGAAAGATCACTCCAGGCATGAGGAAGGCATTGGTCAACGAGGGTCAAGCTCCCCACACGGCCATCATCGGCTGTGCCGACTCCCGAGCACCTTTGGAGACCGTGTTTGATGCCATGCCTGGTGACATCTTTGTGCTGCGCAATGCTGGCAACACATGCACCCATGCTGAGGGCAGCATGGTGGGCAGCTTAGAGTTTTGCCTGGGTGCTCTCAAGACCAAGATGGTGTTGGTGCTGGGGCACACTGCCTGCGGAGCCATCAAGGGTGCCACCTCAACGTACTTGCAATCCAAGACCGGCAACGCACCCCAGGTGGGAGACATCCAAAGCATATTTGAAGCTGTTGATTTCACAGACATGATGTCCATCATGTGGGGAGGAGTCTATAATCTATTCATCTATTCCGTGGGCTCATGTCAGATTTGGTGATGAGCAGATGCAGTGGTCTGAGAAGGCCTCCACTTTGCCAGCTTGTTGAACTCCCAGTCAGAATTCGACGTTGGTTGTAGTATCAAGTAGTAATATAGTCCGTCTTACAGAAGTTTGCCGCAAAATGTAAGCATCCAATAATCCATAGTCCCTATTCCGGGTTTCTACTTGGCATCCCTCGACATGTTAAGTTGTTTCCTTCAGATCGAAGCACTGCCAGGTCTCCAAAGCTCTGGATGCCCTGCTGGTTGGCCTCAGCGATGTGGCCAAGAAGGCCTCGCAGGAGTTGGGTCCCAACGCCACGGAGCAGCAGATTGTGGACCGGACCATCAAACTGTTCCCTGGCCACCAACGGTCCAGATGAATCATGATGTTACGATGTTGTTGAGTTCTGAGGGACTGAGATTGGACTCATAGCCTCCTTTTGTGAAGCGAGCCGCGATCAAAGTTGATGACTCCTGATTTATAGTCCTAGAGGTCAAAGTTTGTTTTGCAGCTTATTTAGAATGGAGAGATGGACTGTTCAAGGTTTGAAGCAGTCAAGAATTTCCAACATTCCCTGTCTTCAAATTCGGCATGATGTGCCGAGGAATGTCTTCCACACTATTGACTGCCTGCTGCAGTACAGCCCATTGATCCGAGAGAAGGTTCAACTGAGCTGAAATCGTGGCATTTGCACACTTTCATTGGTATACCATCTTGTTTGTTGAATTCTGGTGGCAAAGGGCCAAGGCTACCAAGAACACATGACATGAAGCTAACTTGCAAGAGTGAAGAAAGAACTTCTCATCAGAACCCTCTTTTGGAAAGTCATTTGAATCTTTGCATGAAGGGTTGATTTTCATCAGCACTTTTCCTCTTTCAGGTGGCGGCAGGTGAGGTGGAGATCCAGGGTGGCATCTACGATCTGGAGACGGGTCATGTGGAGTTCTTGGGCCAAAGCCCAGCTCAAAACATCTTGATGAAATCTGGTGCTACGTTTCCAGCAGTGCTTCGACCAGTCCAACATCAAGCATCAGTACCTCAAGTAGCTCCAGCGCAAGTGCTTGCAGCACCAGTTCAATATCGAGCACAGCGATTCACGTATGTGCTTCCAGCAACAACACGAGTAGTACAAGCACCAGCAGCACCAGCGTATCTTCAGCCAGCACAAGCTGCTCCGGTACCTCTCGTGCAGACAACTTGGCACGGAGTGCAGGGCAATCGCTTCATCTGAGCAGATAGACTTGCCCGAGGCAAGTTCTGCAATTTTACAAAATGTCGGGAATGCAGTTGGATTTGATTAGGATTTCACATTTTTGGATGCGTCCATGATGTGCCCCATGTACATCGCAGACAGGTCGCATAGATGTATAGAAGAAATGGCCATTCTGCTCAGAAGCAGTCCTTCCATGCCAAATTTTCTCAAAGAGATTCTTGTGGCAAGAATTTGTCAACCACCACTTGGGCTCTACAGAAGTTTGGAGCCGTGGGAACCCTCCTTGGAGGTTCCGATACCAATATTTTTCTTTTTTCTTGCTATGTCAAAAAGCGTCGAGTGACCTCCATTTGAGACTCTAGTGCTTTGAAGGTAATATTTGAAGGTAATATGCGAACGGACCAGACCTTTTGATTTGCAAAAACACACACACGCACACATTTTTGATATTTGGAAACACCAGACCTTTTCATTTGTGCAGATCCAGAATATGGGTCACACGCAGCATTTTCATGTGTCTTCAACTTTCAAGAAGATGACTTTCATTTTAAAACACGGATATCACCTGAGAACTTGCAGCTCCAGTTTGTTTGAAGTAATCTTTATTTCATAAGAAAAAGAAGTGACACTGACAGAGGACATCAATTTTTTGTTTCATGTTGTTTTTATATGTTTTTATTATCCATGGCTATCCTCAAAGAGTTTTCCTATGAAAATCTGTCGCCATGTCGAAACTCATTCGGATGTCACAACGCCTCCTGAGCGTTCCTGGCAGCGGCATCCGAGATGCCCCTTGGATCCCCTTGGGCACTGGTTCACGTGGAACTAGGACGGACATGGGAACTTTTTTGTTTGTCTTGTGGGGACGTATTTCCCCAAAAAATGTGGAAGAAAATTGGGTAACATTCCACTTTAATCCACTTCATGGTTTTCATGCAAATCTCCATGGATTATGCAATTATGCGAATCCCCATGGCAAGGGCAGTATATCTCACGAACTAATCATCAAGCAACAAGCAACTTCAGCGTCCAAGGTGATGAGCAAATCAGCAGCATTAAAAGCTGCTGGTAAGGATGTCATCAATTGGCACATTGGTACCTGGCTTGCAAACTACTTGGCCAGGGAAAGACCCGACCGAAGGTGCTAAGTTAGACACACGGCTGAAGATTTTCGACAAAAAATACTCACTTTGGTAATGTGCTCCAGTGCTCCCATACATCGATGGTTTCTTTACCGGGATTGAAAACCTTGTGATTCCAACAAAGTTGAAAACACCATTTGGCAAAAAGACATATTACTAGCAGGATTACCAGTAGTACCGCACAAGGCGGTGGCGGAAGTTTCAAAAATAGGAAACCTATAGGAGAGATTGGCTGTTGTGAATCAGGGATGGCAGAGCGAAGCCACTGATGGACCGAAAGGTGCTTGAGGTCTCCTCTCTTTCTCTCTCTTTCTCTGAATAGCTATCTATGTATCTATGTATCTATGTATCTATCTATCTATCTATCTGTCTATCTATCTATCTATCTAACTAATCCTATCTATCTATCTGTCTAACTAATCCTATCTATCTATCTATCTATCTATCTATCTATCTATCTATCTATCTATCTATCTATCTATCTATCTATCTATCTATCTATCTATCTCTCCATCTATCGATCTATTGTTGTTGTAGTTGTAGTTGTTGTGGTTGGTGTTGGTGTTGGTGTTGGTGTTGTTGTTGTTGTTGTTGTTGCTGTTGTTGTTGTTGCTGTTGCTGTTGCTGTTGTCGTCGAGGTTAGGGTAGTTAAGTTAGTGAAGTTAGTTAAGTTAGTCAGTTTACTTTTTCGACATCGCAACTTCCAAAAGTGGTCCGAACCCCTGGTGTTTTGTACATTTTGACTTGGAAATGTGCTTCGCGCCACAACGGCGTGCACTTTTTCGACATCTCAACTTCCAAAAGTGGTCCGAACCTGGTGTGTTTTGTGCATTTTGACTTCGAAATGTGCCTCGCGCCACAACGGCGTGCACTTTTTCGACATCTCAACTTCCAAAAGTGGTCCGAACCCCTGGTGCTTTGTACATTTTGACTTGGAAATGTGCTTCGCGCCACAACAGCGTGCAATTTTTCATCGCTCCTGTGGCCAGCTGGCTCCGCACCCGCCGCTTTAGCGAGCCTACTTTTCGACCCTCCGGAGCCGCAGATCATTGGAAAAACACAGTGTTTCGCGACTTTCCTACCTTTTCGCGCATCTGTATCTTCTGTCCTCTTACTCTTTCTCTTCTGATCTTCTCTCTTCTAATCTTCCTCTTCTCTGTGCCTCTGCCCTGCTCTGCTTTTCATCTCTCCATATTGTCGGAAGTTTGACTTCTAAACTTCCTTCGACTAGCACCATACGTGGTGACTTGAATAGCACATGCAGACAGATCGATAGCTTGCATCCACACAGAATATAAGTATATATTGGTATCATATACATATATATATAAATATATGCTATGTGTTTCACCCACTCAAAACCACATGCAATTTCTGCAAACCTCAGGTCGTCCTGATTTTGACACGCCTCAGCACATCAAGGAGAGACTAGCGCACGAAGTCAGAGTCAGTTTATGTTTGTTGCGTCTCATATGAATCATTCATCATTATCCAGCACCACTCATTGTTAGATTAATTACCGCTCCTTCTTGAAGAATCATCTTTGAAGTATCATGCAATCAGTATCAATCCTCAACCAATTCTACTGATCCACATAGTTTTTTAATGGTTTCTACATGGATCCATCCAAAATCCACAATAATCAATCCGAAATCCATCCCAGAATCCATCTCAAATCCATCCCAAATTCCAAAAATCCAAAATCCATCTTGAATCCATCCCAAATTCCAAGAATCCATCAAAATCCATCTTGAATCCATCCCAACTGCATCAATCAATTTCCCGTTTTTTGCGGAAATTCTCCACCGTTTTTACCCGAGACCTCCAGGAGGCGTGTTCCGAAGCGCTCCGCCAGGGTCACGTCCACTACGCGCCCGCGGCAGGGCTTCCGGGCCTGCGCAAAGCCTTGGCCCAGCGAGCTGAGGAGGTGCCGAAAGGGCATGGAAGATGGAGGTGTTCGAAAATGGAGGTACCCCAAATCATCCAAGTCGTTGGACCATTTTCGTTTACTCAAGGGTGACTTGGGGATCCCGAAATTTTTATCCCCAGATGAGTTGGAGAGTTTTCCAGAAATCTTTGGGTTTCTCTGAAAATGTCGGGTGTATCCCATGGTTTTTGTTGGTTCATCATTTTCCCCCCCCAAAAAAGTCATTTGATGGGTCTACCCGTCTACCCCATTTTCAGAGAAACTCATTTAAGTTGAAGACTTGCTGTGAGGAGTACAGCGTTTCCGTTGACCCCGAGCGCGTCGTTGTGTGCAATGGTGGAATGGAAGCAGTGCTTTGGCTGAGCAAAAATTTCAAGAGGTGACAAGAAGATGCGGCATGAGCAATGCGGCATGAGCAGGTCTCGTAGGAATGTCAGGAGTAGTAGGATCAGTGGCAATGATTCTTCTTGTTCTTGTTCTTGTTCCTATTCTTCTTGTTCATCATTTTCTCTTCTTCTTCATGTTGTTGTGGTGCTAGTGGTAATTTTTTGACGTTGTTCGCATCGCATCTCCAAGGTGACAAGTGTGTTGCATTCTTTGCTAGAGCAAGGTGATGAGGTCATAGTGCCCTCACCCAACTGGCCCAATATGAAGTGGGCGGTGGTGTTGGCAGGTGCCACTGCTGCTTTCTTTTGCGGATTGTATCCCAATTTCAATCCATGTCGGCATAGGCTATGTCTCAAAATCTACTCAAGTTGATGGATCCCCCATGTTTGTCATGTATGACAAGTCATTGATCTTGATACATTGCTGATTTGTGGAATATGTGGAATCAAATCGCGGTCTTCATTGATTTTCCATCAAGTATGATCGGTAATGATGTACCGACCCTACCAGAATTATGGTCACAATAGATATCCATTATGGAAACTTGCGCATGAGGGACCATTATTTCGCAATCCTAAAAAGGTGCAAAAAAAGGTAACTAATCCTACTATATAAGACCTGATCTCCATTGGATTGCTAGCTGTTTGAACTCAATATTGGGATGGCTCAAAACCTACTATTACCATATTTTTGGGAATAACCATCCATTAACCAGCTACTTTAGGGTACCGTTTGGGTAGCAGGGTTTGGACCCATAACATATCTGATCTCCTAGGAAAAAATGTCAGGCGGCGTGCCTGTGGAGGTGGCCTTGAGCGACGGAATCTTGACTCCCGAGGTGAAAAAAATGGAGGGGATTTAAGGAGAAAAATGGGGGTGAACCTGGGGTTGAATTTGGATACCCCCTGACTTTGATGGGTTTTCATATTCACATTTTGGTTTACCATCATTTTTCTGCTTAAAATAGCCGGAATTAGAGGGGAGAACATATTACCACATTTGCAGACAGACCCAGATGAACACCCCTCGGAGTTTTCTTCAGGATATCTTGGATGGCTTTGCCAAAAAGTTGGACCCCTGGCCCCTCCCCCTTCATTCCTGGCCGTTGGCACGGCCAGGCCATTTCGTCAGCAGTGACAGAGAAGACCAAGGCATGTCAGAGCCACTAGCCGAGGTATCTCATGTTTTTGGTGCCATGGCATGCCACGGCAGACTGTGCAAGTTACCTTGCTGTAAACCAACATAGATGTTTAAACTCCACCATTTGAGAAGCGGTTAAAACTGCTGGCAGACCACTTTAGTATGCGTTTTTTTTTTAAAAAATCAGAAACCACATGCGCGCAAACTTTTAACACACTTTGCATAGGCTTATGCTTGTGCAAGCTTCGTGCAAGCTCAACACATCTCAACACCATCTAGCATGAAGCGTTCGAAAACCAAGTCCAAAATCTGCTTTGCGCCTGCATCGCGCAAGCAAAAATGCACCAAATCTCAGCAAAACCTGTTTGCGCAAGCTCGCGCAAGATCGTTTTTACAAAATTGACTGCGCAGCCGCTCCGTTGTGGTCGCGCAAGGATGGCACAAGGATTTCACGCAAACAGGAATAGTTTCAATTTGGTTTTAGCGCAGGTTTTGGACACCGCTCATTTGCAGATTTTCCTAGGAAACCAGGTTATCTAAACCTCCAGGTTAGGTACTGCTGTCTTGGGTCCAACAGCTATCTTTTATCCCCGCGCGTGTAAAAGCTGCATCTGGCAGTTGCTGGTCATCGCATCTCCGGCTAATCCGCTTGGAAGCGTGACCAGTGTGGATGAGTTGCAGTGAATTGCTCAAGTGGTGTTGCAGAAGGATCCGATCCAGGGCTGCTGTTGGGTACCATGATCATTGTGGGTAGTCATGTGGGATTATTTGGAGAACTGCATGGAAGGTGGATAGTGGAACATCGACAGTTTCGTTCACACATTCACACCCTTTAGCTGTCAGGATTGAGCGCAGAGATTTTGGAACCGTTGATATTTGTAGTCTTGATGTGTGAGGAGGGCGTCTTTGTAATCCTTTCTTTGACGCATTTCAATGTTATGATTGGCGTCAGGATTTATTGGTCATCAGCGATGAGACCTACACAAGGACAGCTGTTAGCCGGTTAGCGTTGCCATTTCCCAATAGGCTCCACCGAGCTCAAAAATACTCCCATGGCCAGGCTGTACTATGGCGAGGAACCAGTGGCGCCCTCCATCCTATCAATCAAGGGTAGCCTGGCCGACACCTGTGAACATCATCATGGCATCCGGGCATGTCCGTATCCCAAATGTAAGGATTCCGGGATTCCAGGATACCCCACATTCATCGTTTTCTCGCATGAAATGGACCACTTGGATTGTGGCTTTCTACGCAAAGGGACAGATCAAAACGATTTGGAGGTTCGAAAAAAACCCTTTGGGTCAAGTCATTGGAGTACCTATGGACCAGTTGGGTGATGCTTGTAGGGGGTTATATTACCCCTTGTAATATATTGGTCATCATCATAATCGATTATGGGAATACCAATTTTGCCAATAGATTGCGGACGTTCCAATAATCATCCCGAAATATTCCCACGTCTATTTTGGACTTTTTTCAATGGTAATCCTCAGTAATATTTCATCATTTCATATAATCCAAGAAGATTTCACCATTTCCAGTTAATCCAGTTAACCATTAATTCAATAATATTTCACCATAACATCATAAATAAATAATAAATAAATAAATAAATAAATATATATATATATATAATAATAATGATAATAATAATAATAAAATAATAATAATAATGATCCCCAATCATATGAGTTCATCATTTCAAGAAAAAACCGTTGCCAGCGCAAGATGTTTCGACGTATACCAAGGCATGGAGCAGCGCAGCTTTGCCGTGAACACCTTCTCAAAGACCTATGTATCTTGGGTCAAGTCATTACCCCGAGAAATTGGTTTGTTGATTTTGGGCAGATCTTGGTATGAGAGGCATCTTCATTTCTTGCTCTTCGTATTTATGCATCTGAATTTCTTATAATTTCTTGACCCGTGCCTTAAAATTTGATTGTGGGCTCGAGGCAATGGATGGCTGGCGCTTGGGCTGGGCCCTTTGCCCTGACCCATCCTCAGCTTCAGCCGTGGCAAAGACCAGGCTGGTTTTCAACCAGGTAGATGTAGCTTTACCTATTGGAGGACTAATTAATAGGTGATCCCCATTCAACATCCAATAGACTTACAAAATCATAAATGGTATCCATAGCTGGCCCCTGTTGTGGAGAACGGCCTTACAATTCTTCCCCCAACATGGATGTTTGGTGCGCTCATATGCCCCAGTGACTGGACCAGCAGGCTGTGTGATGAAGAAATGACTCACGGCCAGGTACTATTTCTCTGCATGCTCTCCAACGTGCAGCACCAAGTTTAGCGAGGCTCCTGGTTCTCGACTTGGAGCTTCGTTTTTTTGCCGAGGTTCACCCAATATGCTGGCATCGCGGCGCAAACAGCGTCGCAAGATTGCGTTGCAGAGATGCGCGCGGAATATGATGCAAGACGCACCATTTTAGTGGAAGGACACAGCGCTGGGCTTGAGATGCAAGGATCGTTGCCGTTGTCGCCAACTCATGAGGATTGAGTAGAATTGAGTACTGTAGAGGATTCTGTGGGGTTGCAACGCGTCCGTGATTGCAATGCGTCCGTTTTGGAGCAGTTGTTGTTCATACCGGGCTGTTGTGAAGCTGAGAATGTCTGCATGATTTTGTGAAGGATTGAAGAAGATACCGGGCGTGAAACTGCTGGGAACTTGGTGCTTCTTTCATTCTAAAATCTTGAGATGTGCGCAAATTAATTTGATCCTTGCAATTAGATGTCTTTTTGCAAGTGATCGATTTTCCATTTTCTTGATATGCCGTGCCCACAAGAAATTGCAGCAAGAACCACCCGAAAGTAATCGGAGTTCAGCACTTTAGGTTCATGAATAAATGAGGACCAAAGCATGACGGCAACCCCGTTCGTTGTGGATTCTTTGCGTCAGCACAGTGGTGGAGGATTCTTCTTTGTAGTCTGACCCTTCAACAAATTCTGAGAAGGTTCCTGATTGATCATGAAACATATATATATATTATATATATCAACAGTATACTCATGACATCCCGTGGCAACTTGACAGCAGAGCATTGGTGAATTGTGGGAAGGAAGAGACGACATGATTTCCGAAGGAAACAGACTTGGAAACCAAAGGTTTTTTGAACATCTGGTGACAACATTCCTTGCATCGGCAGAACGGTCTTTCATTGAAAATGGGAAACACTTCTGAGTAGCCTTTTGCCTCAAGCCTCAAGACTTCAAGGGCCAAGCCCTAGATTTTGCTGTGACCCATACAGGTAACAAGCTGAGACCAACAGCCCCAAGTAGTACTGAACAAATTCCAGAAGTACGTCAACAAGACTCACCAGAAACAACATGGCACATATTTTTCCGTTTCTATGTGCTGTCGCCAGGCCTACCCATCCACAGGGCGCTTACTTTGTGTTTCCAGACCTGTCGGCATTTGGAGGTTCCGATGGATCGCTGGTGGCTGCCCCAGATGAACAGCTGGACAGCTGGCTATCCCTTGGAGGGTCTGAAAATGGGGCTTCCCCCAAGTTACGGCAATGTCAATCGGGGCAATTGATGATCAATCAGAATCAATCATCATAGTTTTTTTGGGTAGCCTATTTTCAGATAAACCCATGAAATGGTACCAGGAAAACTGTCATGTTTTTTTGGTTGATTTTGTGATTGGTGGTTGAAACACGTCCCGCCAACCATACATGGTTTGTCCGAACATACCAAATTCACATAGTGGATCATCACTTTCCCTGGTAAACTGACAACACGTTGGGCTATCCCCATTTTTGGACATAAACCCATCTTCTTGCGGCTTTTCGGTTGAATTTGCCCCGGTTGGGAGGCAAAATATTTGTTGGACGAGCACCATATTGCGCTGGTGGATGGAGGCATGAGATATCTCATATGCGGGAAACAGTGTTGAGCCCTGGCCAAGAACGATCTCATGATGGCAAATGGGTGAAGTGGATAGTGGACATCCTGATGTTTCAAACGGTAAGAAAAGTGGATTACCAACCACCTGTGCTGTCCAAAAAACTTTTGGTTCGTGGGTGAATTCCTCCGTTTCTAGGCACAGCCAAAGATCATATGAGTCATATTTGTGGGTATATATTATATTTGTTGATTACATATGGCACATTATATCCCATTATATACCCATTCTAAGTTGGGTGATATCCCCAACGGCAGGTACCATCATTCTTCTTCGCACGCAGGTGTCTTCGGCCAGGAAGGTGAAGGGCATGTGCGGATTGCCTACTCCTGTTCCACAGAGGTGCTGTTGGGATTGACTACCTTTGGCCGCCTTTGGCCCCCAACATCATGCAGATTTTTCGGTGAGATAAATATTCAGATCAATCAATCACTATTAGTCACTATTATAGTAGGATCTATCACGAACTTCCTTTTTTCTTTTTGGGGGATTACCATAGATGGCTTTACCATTTATCTCACGGATTTCCAACGGCTTTGGTTCCGACCCTCCAATCAGTTGCCACCCAACTACACAACCACCAGCCCAAATCACTGGTGGGTCAGGGGCCCAGTAACTGTTTGACAGCCAATACGTGGGGTTGATCGGATTTCTCGAACTGGGTTATATGGTAACCCCCCAAGAGATCGAAGCAGAATTGAATTTGCCACTATTTTGCGATATTTTGATGGCGGTTTCACGGTGTTCTCACCTTTCTGCATCCTTTTTTTGGGGCTCGGAACGATGGTTCGTTCCAATGCCAGGAATGTCGCCGCGGAGTTGAACGCCTGCACAAGGCCCTGGAAGGCTTGCAAGGCGAGGGTGGGAAGCTTTAGATCATGCCAGCAACTGTGAAACCGAATTTATATAATATATATATAATTATATCGATTATGTTTATAATTATATATATATATATATAATCGAAGGAAGTTTAGAAGCTATACTTCCGACAATATGGACAGTTGAAAAGCAGAGGTGAGAAGAGTCAGAAGAGAAAAGATCAGAAGAAAGAAGATGTAGATGCGCGAAAAAAGAGGAAAGTCGCGATTCACTGTGTTTTTTCCAATGATTTGTGGCTCCGGAGGGTCGAAAAGTAGGCTCGCTAAAGCGGCGGGTGCGGAGCCAGCTGGCCAGATGAGAGAGGAAAAATTGCACGCCGTTGTGGCGCGAAGCGCATTTCCAAGTGAAAAGTGACAAAACACCAGAGGAGCGGACCACTTTTGGAAGTTGAGATGTCGAAAAAGTGCACGCCGTTGTGGCGCGAAGCACATTTCCAAGTCAAAATGTACAAAACACACCAATGTCGGACCACTTTTGGAAGTTGAGATGTCGAAAAAGTGCACGCCGTTGTGGCGCGAAGCACATTTCCAAGTCAAAATGTACAAAGCACACCAATGTCGGACCACTTTTGGAAGTTGAGATGTCGAAAAAGTGCACGCCGTTGTGGCGCGAAGCACATTTCCAAGCCAAAATGTACAAAACACACCAATGTCGGACCACTTTTGGAAGTTGCGATGTCGAAAAAGTGCACGCCGTTGTGGCGCGAAGCACATTTCCAAGTCAAAATGTTAAAAACACTAGGGGTTCGGACCACTTTTGGAGGTTCAGATGTCGAAAAAGTGTCGAAAAAGTGCACGCCGTTGTGGGTGAGGTGACCACTGCAACCATTGCAACCATTCCAGCAAACACAACTCCAACCACCTTTCGGTCAATCAGTGGCTTCGCTCTGCCGTCCCTGATTCACAACAACCAACTTCTCCTATAGGTTTCCTATTTTTGAAACTTCCGCCACCGCCTTGTGCGGTACTATTGGTATACTATATCTTTGGAGCATCTTTAGTTTGATGATGGCAACGCCAGGTTGGAACCACCTTTTCGGGATTTTTTGACTGGGGGTTGCTGGGGTTGATGAAATCCAGCCCAAATCGACAAGTCTTATGACGAATAGTTAAACATATACCATTGGCCAAAACCATCTTGGTTCGATTCCATCGTGCATGTTGTATGATATCTAAATGGAGTGCACAACTATTCACCAGGGTTATGAGACAGCTTCAGTTGCCATCAGAGTCTGACTCTTGCCAAGTTTCCCAGACTCCTAGTCAAAAGTCCTCGCCATTCACTTATCAAAGTGGATATGGAGATGGGTCAAGACCTATTATCTACATATTTGGGTGAATTATCTTTTACCATATGCTACCTAGGGCACCAGGGTTTTGACCCATAACCATATAAAAAATCACGCAACCCAACGAAAAGCTTATGCAAACGGGAGATGCTCAATGGTGCTGTCGTCAGGAAAGCCCCTGGAAGTGGCAAAATAGTGCCGCCTTTGGCTGTTTGCAAAAAAGAGAGCGCAGCATTTGGTGTGGTCTGTGGCCGTTGTGTTTTTCATGGTTCAATGATTCAGCTAT